CTTTTGGTACAGCAACATGAGCAAATAAAATTTGGATTAAAAACTTGATATTTCAAATTTAAATTAAAAGAAGTTTAAAATTAAAGTATGTATTTTATTACTTGTTCTAATTGTTTGCACAAATTCTCTTTTTACCATACGTGGCAGCACAGTTTAATCATTTCATTTAATTAATGTAATTGTGCACGCGATTGTGCAAAATAATTTGGTCTCGTAATTTCTCAGCTTTATAAAGGATTTAAACTAAAATCATTCAAAGACGTTTCTATAATACTTTATAACATAATTTTCATAACATTAATATTTAAATGATGAAAAGCAGTCGTACAACGATTAAAGCAAATTTATTCCCGAAATATTCTGCGTATGTATAATTATGAATCGTTTTTATCGCGCACATCTAGACAACGAATGGTTATAACATTCAAATTTTGCTTCGTAAGCGTTGTCTAGCCATTAATTATTTCTCGAAAATGATTCTTTGGAAACTAACTTTATCACACATAGTTGAATTTAAAACTTAAAATTTGTAAAAATTTAATTTTGGTAAAAAAAAATTCGAAAAATTAAAAAAAATTTGAGTGGTGAGCGTAAACAAAAAAATTATTTTAAATTATAATTATGAAGTACTCTTAAAGTCACTCAATTTTGGTTTAAACATTTTTTTTATCTCTCATAGTTCGACGATATTTGCATTGAAATAAAAAATCGATTTTTTTCCAAGGGTTGTTTCATCCCTTAAAAGTGCGTAAGAGCACGAAGATGCGGTACCTTAATTTTTGGTATTGTTCTAAGAATAACATATTAAATGCTCATTGTATTTAAAACAAATTTATTTAAACAACTAAATTAAAACGGTCAAGAATACACAAAAAATTTATGGAAATTAACATTATTTTGACAAACTAAAATTTGATTTTATTTTGATATCATTTTGATGTCACTTTGATCTTTCTATTTTCCTTGGGAAGCTTTTTGAATTATCACATAATTATGTTTGTAATGAAAGAGTATTCAAAGAGTTGATTGAATCGAAACTTTTTATGACGTACGTGGCAATACATGGATAGTGTGCATATCGCGAGGGATATTTAGAGTAATTATTTACAATATAATAGTACTAAAATAACCGCGCAAGTGTGAAAAGTATGCAAAAGAGTGGAGTCAGTTTAACTATTACTATCAACGAAGGAATAAGTTTTGTTTAGAAAATCCTCTTTAACCCTAGACTACCACACCTGGGTAAAATTTATCCGGATTTTTTAAGTGCGTGCCATTCCGATAAGGTTGAAGAAGTGGGGTCGCGATGTGAGGTGGGAACTTACAAGTGTCACCTACAATGTTTTATTATAAGCCACGTCATTCCACTTAATACTG